GGGCAGGGCGGGTGGGGGGTTTAACTGCGGGGCAGGCTGCACATTTCACAGTGCTCTGTACCAGGCTGGTTCATGAAGGTGCAGTGGAGGCAGGACCACATGGCTGAGGAGGAGGCGGGGACCGAGGGGCCGCCCATGGCCCCGTAACCCAGAGAGCTGGAGGGCTGCCCGCCAACCGTACCTGGAAGGACAGGAGAGGGATTACAGGGGATTAAAGCGGAAGATCCCGTCATTCATTTTTCAAATAACTGATTATCTTTCTATAAAATGTAGGAAAAATAAAAAAATGCCAGAGTTGGGGGACAATTTGACAGGTGACTTACTGCACAGCTGCTCGATGGTGGCCCACTGCTCCGACTTCTTCCAGGTCTGTGCCAGGTCCTCATTAGAAGTCCTCACTGCATCCAGTAGCAACCCGATGCTGTCCTGCAGGAACAAACACAAACTCTGATCTATCCACTGCAAAAAAAACAGCAACACGTCAACAGATGGTTGCTCTGAAAGTCTGGATTTGATAAAAGAACTCTGATCACGGAGTTCATCATTATCACAGAAAAACACTTTTGCTTTTGACGGTGACGAGGGGCCTCGGGCCGGTTTGGAAATCTATCAGCATGAATAATGGCTCCTGAGTGAAAACATCCTCACTGCAGTAAGCACTTCCAGATTGGACAAGAATGTGTCCATATTCTGACCCATTTACTGCAACACGAATGCCAAAGTAGAAAAAATAAGAGGCTTTGAAGTGTTCCTTACTCTCAGAGGCATGACTTCATTGGTGACGAGGAAGAGGAGCAGATGGAAGTCCGACACGATGTCCAGGAACGCCGTGGAGGTGCACTGGGACAGGTACGTCGCTAAACTGTGGAAATTCTGCAGACACACGAATAACAAAAAAACAACAGTTATAACCTCTCTGACCTCTGGAGGTTAGGGAATCCAAAGGTCGACCTCACCTCAAGTTGAAGTACAGGCAAAGACTCAAGAAAATCGTGTGGCTGGAAGTTACAAGAGTCAGAGTTTCTGCAGGATTTAACACATTTTTAAATATCTAATATTCTTATATTGAACAGGAAAGTGTATGGATTCATTTTGCCACTTCAGGTTCAGATAAACAGAATTTTATCCAACAGTGACTTACTTGTGTCTCTCCCAGAATATCACGGTTCTCGATGGGGAAGCGTTGTGTGGAGCAGAAGGTGTACTGAGGGTCCTTTGGAAAAGTGGTAGTTATCTATATAGAAGAAAAAACAGGAACATTATAAACGAAGACAGCGGCAGTACACAGCATCTGTTCTTATTAACGCAGAGTGAAAAAAGATCAGAGAAACACCTGCTGCCCAGTGACAAAGAGACACATTACTCACGTCTATGATGAGGTACTCCACAGGGAGAGGCCGGGCTAGAAACGTCACATCGTTTCCAAATTTGTCTTTGTCCTTTTGGATGGAAACAAAAACTTCAACATCTGGACTCACTGTACCTGGCCCCAATCGCAACCTAAGTATCTGTATGTCGTTATTCTGATGGGATTTGTGTAATGCTCGTTCACTTTGTGTATGATCACAGTCTTACCTTGTAGAAGACGTCTGGTACGTACTGCTCAGGGCTGGACTCTTTAGCGAAGCCCAGCTCAGGAGCGTCTTTGCAGGGCAGTAGGCACTCGTCTCTCACCAAAGCCATGCACTGATTGGACACCTGATATCCTTCAAAGTGCACCTGGTTATCTGGACCACCTGCACACAGAGAGAACAGAGACACAAGTATTAATGTCAAACATCACTCACCTCGAGTAGAGCTACGTTACACCCATCTGAATCTATAACGTTAACAACTGTCTGACTTTAACAGTATTTTATTTTCTGTATTTAAAGGAGCAGTGTAGGATTTAGTGACATCTAGTGGTGAAGTTGCTGATTGCAGCCAACTGAAACCTCGACAACACGCAACTCCCTCTGTAGACAAAAACAGCTCATTCTAAGGTAACAAAAACACAATTTTTTCTACACTAATGAAAATATGCCTAATAATATATTCCATTTCTGCCAATAGATCCTCCACACACTGGACCTTTACGATATTTGATTCATGCTGTTCATCCTGACAAACATACTGACATAATTCACCGACACACAATGGAAAATGGAAAAAGTCCTTACCTTGAAAATAAAGCAGCAGCAGTCCTTGGTATAAACGGTTACATCAGGTGCAGTTATTTGCATCTCTTGGTATGTGGTTTATACCATACATGAGAGTGGCATTCAAAAATGATGAAAGGAGGTGAATGTATGGACGCTGTTCACTTCTCCCATCTCTCTCCTGAAAGCATGCCACCTCCATCACTGTCATCACAGGCATGATTTAATGCAGTTCAACAGTGAATGCGGTTCATGGATGTAGGAATCTGAGGAATGTGGAGAGTAGAGGTTGAAGAGTGCTTGGAGCTCTTCCCATTTTTACACCTGAGCACACCTGGCATAGTTGGAGTGACAAGTTCGGAAGGTACAGAAAATGAGGTGGTACAGACCTCGCCAGTGTCTAATAGGAGCTTTTCATGGCTTTCAGAAGCAGCATGTTTGAAAAAGCATGTAGGTCTGTTCAGGTGAAACACCTTTATCATGAGAATGGGTTTACTGGATAGCTTTCCATGCCTCACTATGGGGAGAGATACATTTTTCATATAGGACACACAACAACATGGATCTAATATATAACTATATAAAAGTATATTTAAAAAGTTGTATTTTAATTAATATTACTGCTACATTAATACGTATGTTGCATTTTTACTGCTGTATATTTTAAAGGTTGAGCTCATTTTAACTACTTACTGTTGGGTTTAATCCACAGCAAAGATCATATTCTATTAGATCATCATGTCTGTTGCACCATTGTCCTGTGAGAACCATGTATCTCTAAAATCAACTTTTTATGAGCGGAGACGAACAGCCCTGATTTTCATCAGCGATGATTTTCCAGCTAATCCAAGAGGGTTTTTAAATAGTTTATGTAGTTTAAGGAGTAGAGGAGTTTTCTCAATCCATAGAGCAGCAATTAATCCTTCAGGTTATCACAAACATTCACATTTAAAATCCTGAAATGTAGACATATATGAGTTACACTGGACAGGAAAGGTATGAAAATTTTAAATCTAAAAAGTAGCTAGTAACTATAGTCAGACAAATGTAGTGGAGTAAAAGATTTGTCTCAGAGATAGCATAAAATGGAAATACTACGGCTCAGTTGATAATGATAATTTCCATCACTAGTCAGAGAATCTACAATGTAAAACATTACAGAAACACTGATGATTCAGTGTCACAGACTTGTCCTTATCCGACATTTCCTGAGGAAAATGACAATTGCTGCCACAGAGCAATGAAAAAATGTCTCCAATTTTCCACACCACAGTTCAAAACCCTGCATATATAGAGTCTGAGTCTCTGTGGTCAGGGTCCCTGCACTTTGAATAGTGTCAGTGACATGAATGAGCCCCACTGCATTCAAATTAAACCTATCATGGGCCAGGCTTATAAGACAAGGCGTTCCAGCTGAGGATGAAATAATGAAATATGTCCTCTCGGGGTGCCATGTCCCCAGTGCGGCAGAAAGGGCCACGGCTGGCTGCAGAGGAGCAGCACAATCTCCATTAACCAGTGGCTCTTTGCCCACTTTGGGGCTATCAGTATCAATGAGAAGTCCTCTCCCTCTCTCTTGTTAGCGTGAATGAGTCAGGGTGTAAATGCCTAGAAAAGAACCTGTGGCCACTCATGTGCTAGTACATCCATTCCCCATGGGACATTTTGGTCCCTCTGGAATAAAACATGTCGGGCACAGAGCATTTTCCTTTTAGAGGAACAGGTTGGGCTGAAGCGTGCCTGTTTCCTGTTTTATTTTGTTACTTATCTCCTTTCAGACCACTTTATCTCCCACCCGTGTGTTTTTCCAGCCAGTTTGATTGTTGGCCCCGCCCCAGTAGGTTTCAACTGTGTCTTGTTATTCCACCCTCAGTAGAGTATTTAATGTGTGTGTCCTCTCTGTTTTTCTCAGAACTTTTGTGTCTAGCAGTTCAGCACCTTGAGCCCTTTGTGACTAGTTTTTTTCTATTTCCATGAATCTGCCTCCTGCCCCTCCATTGCTGGGTTGTTTGCTTAACCCCCATTGATCACTTGTGTACCAAACCTTTTTTGGCAAGTAAAGACTGTATTTTTGAACCTAAGACTCTGAGTCATGCATTTAAGTCCTGTTCTTTGTGGTCACCGGTTGTAACATGAAATGCAAACCTCAGAATTTTTGTTGAACTATGAAAATATGCTTCCTTCATGAATTGTCAGAGCACATGGAATCGGACATTGTCTCCTTCATGCAACACATGGAGATCTGATGCCTCCTCAGGAAAATACAGATCACCTCCAGAGCCTCTGACATGCCAAGTTGCCAACAGCTGTTGTCAGCATCATCAATCAAGAGAACATTGAATCCATCTCATCTCCTCAGCTTGTACAGGACGTAGCCAAGTTGATGTCACACCTGAACAACTCCACAGTAGCCACACTGGGAGCCTTGTTTGACAGAGTAGTCTGTAGGGTGCTACGATGTGCTGGAGACTCTTAAAGGTAAAGCAGGAGTGGTGCCCATATGATCCAAGCCTCAAATTTTGCAACTGTGCTGACAGAATTTGGGGGGTTTACAGTCAATATATACAGTTAATATATTACTATTCCTTCAATATATTAAAGGAATAACATCCATCTTTTGAGTACCTCCATTATAGAATAGGTTTTGAAAAAGGCTTGAAAGGTGGCTCTGAAATGTTTGTAGCTTGCTGTTTCACAGCAACCAGCAGGCGTACTCTACATGGATTCACAGCAACGGCGACCCAGATTCACAGCACGGAGTTGCTGTTGAAACATGTCAACATGTCCACATTTCGAGGAGTTGCCTTGACAAAAGCATCATGATTGCATCTGCACGTGCATGTGGCTTTTATCTTAGATAACATGCTCTAGTATGACAAGTGCACATCCCAAAGCTGTCTCTCTTAAGCAAATACATTGTCCTCATAAATATATGTGTAACAATGCACATAAATATTTTTGAACCACTGAAATGCAGTACATTTTGTTCAGAATTGGAACTTTTATGTACTATAAATAGGACTTCTTTCTGTCCAGCAGTGCAGGCACATGATGTGTCTTAAATTTTTGTGAACAGGAAGGAGGGAATTCCTCAAGAACTGACTTCCAAATTTGTGCTCTGCTGACCGCACCTTCTTAGTGCTGCTCCCAAACCAGGAGGTGATGCTGCATGTTAAAATGCTCTCTATGGAGCAGGAGTACAGAAAGTATCACGCTGAGCGACAGCCTGAAGTCCCTTAGGTGTGTGAGGTGGTAGAGACGTTGATGGGCCAAGGTGTCTACGTGAGAGGACCATGACCACCGGGGCCCCTTTTACTCTGTGGCTGCAGCATGTAATATTTAGAAGGATCTATTGGTGGAAATGGAATATAACATTCATAGGTACTGTATGTTTCATTAGCGTATTATCACTTATTTTTGTTACAGAGTCTGCCATGTTGAACTGCCATGTTTCTACAGTAGCCCAGAACGGACAAACTAAACACCGGCTGTAGAGAGGACCTTTTGGGTTTTTTGCATGTTTTGCAGCTATCATAGTTTCTCCTATACGTTTGGGAGGCAAGCAATTGGTTGCAATCTGCTATTTCACTGCTGGATGCCACTAAATTCTCTGGTCCTTTATGAAGCAGGGAAACTTTCTAAGCCCATAAAGGAACACTTAATCTTTCAGTTTATCAGAAACATTCAAATTCAAAATCACCATATTTGGAGTGACATGGTTTTCACTAGTCAAGAAAAGTAATTAAAGCTGCAGACAAATATAGTGGAAAGTAAATGTACCTACATTCCACCATTGGCTCCCTTAAAATCATACTTCTTGCGGAAAACAGCAATGCAAAACACTACTGAAACACTGGTGATTTAGTAACACAGTCTCGTCCCTTTTTTCATTTTCTTTTGGCATTTTAAATCAATTTCTGCGGGGACATTTTCTGTTCACATTGTGGCTTGATTAAGTTTTTAGTCTAACACTTGTTACTGTGTACGTTCAACAGGAGGAAGCCGTACGTAGTCATGTGGACAACAATCCAAGATGTCAGTACTTTGTGCCAGTATCTCCCAATTCCAATGCTCACTGGCATAATGATTTAGAGGCTTCTGAGGATAACTCTCAGACACCAAAACAAATTCCTGAAAAGGAACAGTTGGCTTTGAAGAAAATGTTCAGTCGTGAAGTCTCATCAACCAGGCACAGGCACAGGAAAGGCTGACAGCTTAATGGGATTGTTAAGTTTAACTATGAGATGCAGAGTGTATTTTTGGCAAAGCGATGTATGAGATACTTTGCTAACAAACAATATGACACAACAATATGGCTAAGAACCTTGTTTACAATTCAGTCTGTCAAAGTTCGATCTGTCACGTCACATTGTGTCAGAGCTGCACATGCAATATGGAAAAAAGTTTAGTTATGGCTGTGCAGATTTTTAAGTGACTCATAGATTCAGACTCCTCTTTGAGCTCAGATTAGATTTTTATACTGTATATATATATATATATTTTTTTTACATCACAAAATACCTTTTAGATGAAGATTATATTATTTTGCTAAAACCCTGCAGGCCTAATCTCAGTTTTCAGGACCTCTAACCATAAAAAAAACAATGACTTTGGTACATTTGTGACATCAGGGGCAGCAGT